CGGATCGAAAGAACATACTTGAATGGCGGGTGGATGTTTTTTCTCCCTATCGGCATCACAGCCACTCGTAGCGAATTCGAAAACAGAACGAGGATTCCACGGATCGGCAGGGATGAAAGTGGCGATCGACGAAGCGTGTGCACATGCACGGAGACCGATATCCACACGACGGGAGCGCCGGCGACTGGTTTTATCGTTCGACGAAGTGCGACGTGCATGCACGTAGGAGGCGGTATATAAACAATGTGAACTACATTCCAGTGGCATGAGTAACCGTGTCTTGCGCACTCTCGCCACTTCTCGTCCTTTTCTCAAGCGCCGATGTTGCCCGCGCGTACAAATCTAATTACCTAGCAACCTACCTATCTGGAGGGAAAGAGAACGAATCTCTAAAAATGGCCGACGAAAAGATAACGAAAGAACAGACTGTCATTTTTAGTCATATTCGTCAATTACATATAAGTATATGAATAAATCTCTTTAATTGTAATAGTTATCTAAAAATATTATGAATTTTGAGTTTTATTATTGAATTTCATAAAATGCAATATAATATTAATTAATATATAACAAGAATTTGATATTATATTTTCATTAAAGTAATTTTTTACTTTCAACATTGCATATAAAAATCTTATTTTGAAAAATTAATAAGAATTTGATAAAAATAAATTAATCTAAATACCGAATTTATATTAGTAGTCGGCGTCCGTGAAATGTGCAGAATTTCCGGTTATACAAGTGAGAATGAATGTATTAATTCGGATTGGATTTATATGCTGATTATATAGCGCTTGATTCAATGATAGTAATCGAAAAAGTACAAAAGTAACCTATATATTAAAATTAAAAAAATTCTAAGAAATATTATTTTATTTCATATTTATTTTATTATATAATAAACTAATTGTTCAAATATTCTAACATTCTATATTGATTAAGAATTTTTAAATTTTTATTTAATTTCTTTTTTTTTTTCTAAATTTTAAAAATATATGACTTCTCATATTTTAATAATCTCTTAGTAACGTGTAACAGTCATCGATTGAAGATAAATATTAATCAATCGATCATTTCGTTCTATTTGTTGCATAGCTTTCCGGGAGCATCCTCTAATGGACCGTTATTCGCATTTATCAACGATTTGATCGCGTAGCTATATGTATTTCCGATATGCCGGCATATATACGTATTCCTTTATCTAGACTTGATTGTATGCTAATGAAAATATAAGGTCAGTATGTTACGCTATCGTACTTACTTAGAACCCCATTTCTCATTTTTCTTTCCTTTCCTTTTTTTTTTCTTTGCCTCCATCTTTTTTTCTTCATTCCATATAGCAAACTGAAGCACGCTTCACACAGAACACTGCTATCATATTTTGTAACGCAGCCTACGATACACGCAAACGAGTTTTATCGCATAGACATTTCACAACGACTATTGGCTGCTTGTTTAAATGTCACAATGCTCATAAAAATCACAAAACACAAAATTTACCATAACATTTATCGTAAATTAATTTTCACGTCACGTGCAAACTCGTTCGTATCTTCTTGTACCACTAGCAAACTACTAAAATGCGCGGGAAATACATAATGAAGTGATGCGCGATCTCGTGGTTAATGTCTCAAGTACAAGAACCAGTACATCTCTTACGTCATTTGAATCTATAGAAGCTAGTAATTAAATCTAAAAAAGAAATATTGATTTTATTTCTTTCTGCTTGATCGTTCATTTGCTATTCTTACAAAACAAAATCGAAAAACAGAATAGGGAATAAAACAAAACAAATTTTAAGAATAGTCGCAAATATGAATGTTAGCCATTAATTGAAATAGCGATATTTAAGCAACCTTAAGCCCTGTTCTTATTTTTCTTGACTATATTCTTGACTACATACGCGCAATCTATTGGTTTTTTTCTGAACTCTTTTTATTTGTAACGATAATACATAGAGGGGGACAAAATCATGTAAATGATTATTTCTTTAGAAATTAATAGATATTGTTAAAATAAAAAATTATCTATGATGCAAGAATTAATTAAAATATTTGAATGAATTATTATTTATCCTTTTTAAGTACATAGGAATATCAAAATGGGAATATCGAATAAAATTTCTTACCATTTTGACTGATTTTTCTAATATTAAACAATGAATTTTTTATTAATATAGATATTTAATAATATAGATAAGTATATCGTAAACAAAATATGTGAAACTCACCCGGCAGTTAGTGTTAAAAAATACATCAAGACTGCACCGTATTCATCCTACGCGCCTTCATCTTTCTTTCTCCCACTCTTTCTTTCTTTTCTTCTCCTTCCACCCACGGTTCAACAAATGCATCATGCGTGCATGCAGTTCGCCGCGCATTCTAGTAAAGTCCCTGATCTCCTGCCCTTGCGGTTTAGCATTCTCGTTAAGCCGCGCTGGAATGCCTTTCTTACGCGTTTACGAATAAATCGACGATTTTATGAATAAATCCCAGAGGCAAATTGCAACGGCAACGGTGGATGATTAGATCGTAATCGATTCGATCCGTGGAACAACCTGTTCTTAATTGCAAAATAATTCCCACTTAACGACGCTTTGATACGGAAAATTTATTATCGCCGTGACGGGGATCGCGGCAACAAACCCGCCATTCGAAGCGTAGATCCGCGACACTGACGCCTCTGACGGAACGAAGAATGCGCACGAGAAACGCGCAGCACGGGCGCACCTCGTCCATGACCAATAAAATACTGCCGTGGAATGAATATTTGCCGAAATGGTTGCACGTTCTCTTCACTAGACGCAATGATAATGCAATCTATCTTCCGCGCTGATTTGTATGTTAAAATCACCCGAGGATTATTGCCAACTTCTTAAAGACTGTAACGTAAAAACATTTGATGCATGTTTATGTGTACATAGGTTAAGGACTACAATTTTAAAATACTACTTAACTGGCATTGTTTTTAAATGAGATTATTTATATAGGAGTCTTTTAAATGAAAATTTAATTTATTATTATAATAAAAATTATAATAAGTATTTATAATTTAATTTCGTCAATAATGATTGAAATATTTGCGATTCAACATGATCAAATTAATTGTATTAGTTTACTAGTTGCACTAATGGAATCAAACCTAACCTCTTCGAATATCCAATTAATTTAACTAAATTGACTTTTTTAAAATTAGAACAAAGATTAAATTAGAATTGACTAAATTAGACTATGTTATTTGAACTGATTTAGAAATTGAGATTATATAAATGTTTACATATTTATTTCTTGAAAATCAAAAACAATCAATATCATAAGTATATTCATACGTATTTTTGCTGATGAATAAATGCTGATACAATTAAATATTAGTATAAATAATCATAGTAGCTAGTAATATTAAATTAATATATTTAAATAATTATTAAATATGTTTTATATAGTAAAACTGGAATAAAAATTGTATATCAATTTCATTTCGATACAAGACCAGAAAGATGCAACCTGTTTCATGGCTTGGGCAACAATAGCCCATCGGACTTCGTGTAATTGTTTAGCATCTTGCCAGTAACGCGTACGTTCTACACACATTAACGCATTACACGAGCAGCTCGTGACGAGGAGCTGGCGCTAACAGGCACCACCGTAGAATCGCTAATGTGTAGGTAAATTGTTTAGTCGAACAAACAAGTTTGCTCAGCGACTGAATTGAACGCGATATCTCGAATTACTTTTTCTCTCTAAAAGCATAATTATCAATTTAATTAACTTAGAATTGCCTATCATTTCTATCTTACAATGCATCATTAAAATAATCCTACTAATAGTTGAATCGAGAAAATGTTAAAAGTTAATTATATATTTGATCAAGTGCTTTTTATAAATTTATCGTTTCATTTTTAATCTTTTATTTACATATATTTTTGGAAAAAGAATTATTTTCTAATCTATTTCTAATTTTAATCATAAAATATCATAAATCATTAGAATATCTTCCATCATTTTAGAATATCTATTTATGTATTTAATATAAAAATATTTAAAAAATATAACTTACAAAAAATTTTATTATATTTCTAAAAAAAAATAATATTTTTTTACAGACGTTGATACATTCCATCAAACTATATAAATCTATAGATCTATAGATCTATTTAGATGGATGAACACATTTTATATATATATGCAGACTGTTTCTTTCTCCTTCCAACATGTTATGCATATTCTAATGCGAATAGGGAAGCAAGATCACGAAGAAGAAGAAGACCCATAGGTTACCGCGGAATTTATTTCGACGATAATCGTAAGAGACACCCGCGCTCTCTCAGGTAGGATACGAGAACGCGGAAGTGCGTACGTGCACGTTCAACGCGTAGGTTTGTATAGCCGCGAACGTGCATAAACCGTAGCTCCGTAAGAAGCGCTTGTCGTGCAAACAACGCGTTCTATGATAGTACGCAGGAAACGCTTGTCGCCAGTACCGTAAACACTGTCACAAACCTATACGAGATCCGATATCTATGGTCTTTCACTTAATATTTGATGTATACTTTATAACTGTAATCTTTATAATGTAACTGTGCGTTTATAGTTAGAAACTTTTCGTACACCTTCACTTTGTGCAAAAGTTCTATAACGGGACGATATACTTATTGAAGGATATTGAAAAAAAAGAGATCTCATCAAAAAGTTTAATATATTGATTAATAAAAGAATAGAAGTATCTTATTGATTTGTAATTTCAAAATAGAAATTGATTCAGTTTAAAAAAGATTTTTATTTGGATTTTATATAGTTCTAATTTAAAAAATTGCAAAATAATCAAAATTATGTGCGATATCATCGATAATTATACATGCTTTGAAATTGATAACGATGAGTAAAATGATATCAGAGATGAAACTCGTATAAAAATTAAGTTATAAGAGCATAATGTTTGAATGCACAAGAATATGAACTTATTAACAAAATTCTAAAATGAAAGATTAATAATAATATATATGGTTTAGTTTTCATAAAATATTTTTTTCCTGTATATTGAATTTGGTTAGTCTAATGATAATTTTATTAATATTCATTTTTTTATAAATATTAGATTTTTTTCTAAAAATTCTACTTTTTAATGAAATGTTGTTGAAATGTGTAGACATCATTAGCTGTTTTAATAGTAGTCACGCGATACATTATAATTGACAAGTGCCATTGTTTATATAGTACTTCTTAAATGTGTACAATTAAAGAACTGAAATTGAATGATAAAAATTTTTTGTTCTTTAACTTATCATACTTATCATTCTTATCTGTCACTTAATCCTAAATACTCAAACTCTTTCTTATAATATTTAGTCGTTCTGGAACTTTAATACGAGTTTCACATCCCAGATAAAATTATAACTTAAGGAGTTTTTTAGTGATAGTAAGAAACATGACATTTCATATGAAATCAAAAATAACATTTGCATTCGTAACAAATAATATAAACGTTTATACTGGTAAGGATTTAGCTTTATTTCAGTGTTGGTATTTCTTTAATCGTAACAATTGAAACAATTATTAATATATCTCTGTTAGTTACTATCACGACATCCATCAGTATATACAATTGTCGCGTACAGTATTTAAAATGTTCGTTTCCTTGCGTGATTTTGTTACAGTTGATATTTTTTTAAATAGATAAATAAAAAATGAAATAAGTGATCAGATGTTTAATATATATTTAGTGTTTTCTTTATAATTAAAATTATAAAGAAAGTCTATAAATTCTGACTTAAGTTATACTATAAATTTATATTTTAAGTCATCACTTACATTAAAAATATAAATATATACAAAATAAAATGCAATTACCAATATAAGTGAATTGTATATATATACAAAAATTGATGTGAGTATTACTATTTGAGTATTATCTAATCTTTAAATTCACTTATCTTAAACATCTTTATTAAAAAATAATATTCTTTATTTTTACATATATAAAATTATCAAAACTTGTGATTAACAATTACAAAAGAATCATTTGAAAATTAAGTATCCTTTATTCAAATAACACTGCATCATTAATAGTATCATCTTACTATTATATTATCAGCTTATATTTATGATAAATATATCAATTCCTATTTTTCACATTAAAACAGAAACTATAATCACATAAGGAAATAAAAATCTAATTACAGGTGATGATTAAAATCAACAGAGATGTATAGACATAAATGCTTATTTATCACAAGTGATGTTTACAAACGAAGAACGAGTAGAAATCAAATTTCACAATGAACTTAACGATTCTCAAAATTCGAAAAGAAAACATTCAATTATAACTAGACTTATTAATTGTAACAGAATACGATAAAAAAAAGAAAGGGAAAAAGAATGCTAATATAATTCGCCAGACAGATGGTTGTTTGAATCATTACGTAAATGGCATCAATGTTAAATGTGTTGAAGCCAACAATGATTAAAGAGGCAACGTTTGTCGACTAAGCGATACATTAAATAAATAAACTGCCGCGATCGGGTACGATCGCGGCCAAGCACTAGTGTGCCTGTCGAATTCAGCCTGACAATATCGTTTAAAAGTGGAACATGGCTAACCTGGTAGCTGCAGATTATGCGGTAATCGTAATAACGATGATCATTAGTTCAGGAATTGGTGTATATTACTGGCTTAGCGGAGGAAAACAGAAATCGATGGAGGTAAGTCAATTTAAATAACTCTTTCTTTTTTTTTTTTTAGAAATAATATAGAGTATATATATGAAAGAGTATATATAATGAAAGAATTAAAATGATAAAGATTTCATCTTTTTTTGATTTTGTACAACATTTTTTCCAATTGCAAAAATTTCAAAGAAAGAAAAATCCATACGTCTCTTTTGGGATATTCTAGACAAAATTTTACTCTTATAGAGATTTTTGAATTATAAAAATCTATCTCTACTAAATATATATCACTTCAAAGTGGTCGAATATCTTTACAAGATGCTTAAACGATGAATTCAATATTAAAATTTACTAATAAATAAATTTCTACTAAAAATTAATCGACAAAAAAGAAATAAAAGATGAAAGTATTATATAGCCCAATAATTTCATGTAATTTCGACATGGTTCACAACAGGAATATTTCATGGCAGACAGATCGATGCAAATGTTACCGGTCGCGATAGGCTTAACGGTTTCGTATATATCCGCGGTCAGTTTGCTAGGAGTGAGTTCAGAAAATTATGTTTATGGTACCCAATACGCCGTGATCAATATTTCTTATGGACTTGCTACACCATTCGTTGTTTACTTGTACATGCCGGTGTTTTTTAAGATTGGAAAAGCCAGCGCCTTCGAGGTAAGTGAGTTACGGGGCAATGCTCGCTTCACATGTTAATCGATAAAAGAAAAAAAAAAAAATATTTAATATTAATTGAAAGTAAAAAAATAATCGATAAGAATTATTATATGCGAATATAACTTTCAGTACTTGCACAAACGTTTCGGAAAAGCGGCAAGAATGGCAGGAAGCTTCGCTTTCACACTTCAACTGCTTCTGTACAGCGGTGTAGTATTGTACGCACCGGCACTTGCCCTGGAAGCAACCACAGGTATCTCGACGACCGCAAGTGTAATCGGCATAGGATTGGTCTGCACGTTTTATTCGACCATCGGCGGTATCAAGGCGGTTCTCATTACCGATGTATTTCAGAGTCTGTTGATGCTGATAGCTATTATCTTGGTAATCATCACCGCAGCCATGAACGTCGGAGGCCTTGACAAAATTTGGGAGATTGCCCGACAAGGATCACGGATAGAATTTGACAGGTGAACGTTTATTTGTCTTGGAAAAAAAGAAAAAAATCCAATCACGATCGCATTAACCATTAAAGTAGGTTTCACGATATAAACTAAGTCAGAGCAATTTGGTCAAAGGTCAAATTTTACATAAGGGTCCGGAAATCTACATGAAATATACATTAGCTTTGAACCAGAAAGATTATTCCAGCTAAATGTGACGATGCAATGTCATTGCGTCAATCGATGCCGCTCTCTAATGATGTACTTTATGACCCTATTATATCGTGAAGACTACCATACTAATGTCATTAATGAATGGATAAAAGAAAAGTAATTTGAATAGTAATCAAATGTAACGGAAATAACTATTAGGGTTTTCTGATTTTATGATTTTCTAAATATAAGTATTATAATTTTCGTTAATAAATGCCATGTGAGGAATTAAATCAAATATATTCGGTTTTTTAATACTATTTTCTTTCATCCATGTATATTCTTGTAGAATATAATATAAGTTATTAAAGAAATAGAGCAACTCTAGTTCTACTATCACTTATCCAGAAGAAACTATTCTACTGATCAATATTACTATCAATTTTCGTTATTAAATATTAAAAGCTCTGAATTTATCATTTAAATTCTCGATTTATCATTGATTAGTACATTTTACGATATTATTATGTTTTATGTATTGTTTAGGGCATCGAAACAATCAGAGCATGGTTCTTTAACTATCATTATAATATAAACCGTTACGTTGTATAACACGAGTAATAGTGTGCTAGCAACTACTTAAATTTTCTCTTTGGTATTATATTGTAAATTGCCATGAGCAGTTAACACACTTTCAAATATCATGCCAGGCATGAAACGTTTATTTTACGAGGAATTCAGGCCCGGTATCGATACTGACAATGGCATGTGCATTCATTCAGCATTTCAATGGACCCAACTGTGCGACACACCTGGTGGAGCTTGACATTTGGCGGTTTCTTCACCTACCTCTCCTTGTACGGAACCAACCAAGTTCAAGTTCAGAGAATGTTAACCATCAAGTGAGTATACGCTGACTTTCTACACGATACATACGTATCCCGTGATATCACGAATTATATATATCCACACATTTCATAATTAACTAACATCTTGCTGACACGTTTCCAAATATTAAAAAAAAACATCAAGAATTTCATCTCGGCGCTTATGAATTTGAATAACGCAGATTGGTTTAAAAAAATTATTCCTAAAAGAAAAAAAAAAAATACGAATTAAAATATATAACTACGTCATTAATTAATGGTTGTAGAAAACCATACATAATTTAATAATTATTTTAGATAAATCTAGTATGAAAATTATTTCGATAAGAAGTTCGTATAAAAAAATTTATGAAAAATTAATGCCAAACGTATTAATTTTCTTTAATACGTGTACAAGTGCATAAATATATCATAACCAATGTTATTAATCATGTAATCTAAAAAAAGAAAACTCTTATTTAAGATTACTCTTATTTAAATTTAATCATGTTCAAGTATCTTCAACCTACTGTTCCACTAATCCATTTTATAGTAGCAAAAACATTGCTAAAACGAGCAAATAGGCATGCACCGATCGTGGAATCGGCCGATCTTTCTTCCCCAGGTCTTGAATCGTAAATCAACGTTCGATAAATCGACGACGATACGGAGCCACCAGCATTCGAATGAAATTTCTCTAGATGGCTCGAATATTGCGTATCCCGATCCCGCGGCATTGTATTCATCTCGAGGCGCATTATCGTGATTCTCTTCTTCGTAGCGTGACGACAGAGAGACGGAGGAATTTTCCTCCGGACTT